ATTAGGCAGGTCGCGTTGGAATCCAACATCCGCCGAGTCATGCTTCACTTTTCTCCTGGAAAATAACATGAAGCAGCGGCGAAGGTCCCAGCGGGGTTTCTCTCCTGTGTTTCTCTCCTTTCCTGCAAGAGCTGTCTCCGTTCCCGGGACTAGCGCGGGGTCAGAAGCCATCATCAAGCATCTTCCCGACCTTAGCTTCACGGAGCCCACAAATCAATAAAGAAATATATATTTAAAAAAATATGATTTGTGCATTTCCTGTTGTCCCTATACTAGAACCTAAGCTCCAGGAGAGCAGGGACTTTCTTATTTCCACATTAGAGGCCCGGTGCATGAAATTGTGCACAGATGGGGTCCTTCGGGGTGACCTGCGGGGATCAGGCCAAAACCAGTAGTCCAATGCCGCCTGCCGCTCCTGCTCACCCAGGCCCTACTGCACCAGCGGTGGACTCCCGCCCAGTCAGTCATGATCAGGAGAGCCCTGTGTCTGGCACTTGCTCAAGGGGGTTGGAGGTGGGGCCAGGATGCATTTGGCCTTGGGGGGGAGGGCAGCGGGTGGGCAGTGGGACGCCCTTGCCTGCCCGGGGATCCATCCCACTGACATTTGTGCTAGGTGTCGGGAGCCACCTGGCGGCCACTTTTATATTGTTTCTTCCTTGCAGAGCATCTAGGGAGGGGAAGCGGCCGTGGTGCCCAAGGCCGACTTTTAGGAGGCCAGCAGCGCTGTCGGGATTGTGCTGGCGGCACTGTTCCATCAGTGCCTGGCATTCTCCAGAGATTGGACCTACAGAACTACTGAGGGGGTGAGTGTTGGGCTGCTGGGATGGGTTGGTCAGTTGAGTGGCGCTCCCTCTGTGGGAGCACACTGACCACCAGAGGGCAGCTCCTGTGTTGAGCATCTGCCCCCTGGTGGTCAGTGCATGTCATAGCAACTGGTCATTGGGTCATGTGGTTGTTCAGTCACTTAGGCTTTTATATATATAGACTAGAGGCCATGTGCACAAAAATTTGTGCCAGTGGGGTCCCTCGGCCTGGCCTGCACCCTCTCGCAATCTGGGACTACACAGGGGATGTCAGAGAGACAGTTTCAGCCCAGTCCCCGCAGGCCAGGCCAAGGGCCTCTAGTATGCATATGCATATAAAATCTTTGGTTAACCTTTTCCCACCCTCTCCCCTCCCTCTGAGATTCATCAGTCTGTTCCATGTATCCATGCCTGTTGTTTTTGCTACTGCATTGAGTGTCTGGCCCCTGGTGGTCAGTGTGCATCATAGTTAACGGCTGGTCGCTTAGTCTTTTATATATATAGATTATTGACTATATTCCCTATTCTGTACTGTATATCCTGTGACTATTTTGTAACTGCCAATTTGTACTTCAATTTGTTTAATGTTTATCTTTGTTAACACTACAGTAATTATACAAAGTTAAATCCCCCCAGGTGTTTCTTTATCCATACCTGAAACTAGGCAAAGGGAGCCAACCTGGCAATAGCCAGGCTGCATGGCTAAAACCTCCATCCAAATCTGCATACAGCTGTGCCACCTTCTCATTGAGTTGACTTCTGATTTCCTTTCCATGTAAACAATGGCTAGCTGTTAAAATTATGAGCTCAGAAAGAGCTTCAAACAAATCTGGAGAGAAAAAGGTCATTCCCATTAATATTGCCAAAACTGCTTTTGAAATGTTGTTTTATTAGAGATATAAAATTGTGAAGGAAAAGTGAGAATAAAAACTCAAAAACCAACAAGGTCCTATTCATACCATCAAAAAAGCTTGTAGACAGCTTTGTGACTACCTTACCAGCAAAACAAAGAGAGGCAAGAAACCAAAAGATGGAAAGAACACCCCCCCCACCACCACC